AGTCGGCTCGCGGCGTGGGCAGCTTGGCTGGGCTGTCCTTTACCCGGGAGGGCTGTCAGGACGGGAGTCGCGCGTGGTCCGGGAGCTGTCAGAGCAGGCAGAGATGCTTATTTTTCTAAACGGGAAGAACTGTCAAGTGCAATTCCGGACGAATAAGAAATGCTGGTTTTCGTGCTTCTGTGAAAGAGCTTCAGTCTGTTTGTTTACCTTGAAGTCTCAACTGCAGGAAATGCGCGGTTATTCGCATAAAGAAATTTCGAATGCTCACGTCGTATCGGTATCTGATGTCCTGGTATGAATGGCGACTTCTGGGCAGCATTCAGTATATACATTCCTCAGCTGCCGAAAAAAAAAGAAAAAAAGGAGAAAAAAATTTTACACAATTTGTTTTTGACGTGCTGCTTTGATTTTTCAGTCTTAGTGTTACACCTGCGGGACTGTAGTGCACTTTTTTCTTAAGTGTTCCCTTAAAAAAATGTTTAAGAAACCAGTAAAGCAGTACCTCTGCCTTCTGGTTAGCATAGTTGTCTAAAACTTTTGGTTGTTCAAGTATCCGTGACTCCTGTTTTTTCAGATACTGAGCAGGTACTGTGAACCTGATGAAAATCAGTTGCTAAACCGTCAGCTGATTTAAAGCCAGAATATTTCTGGGACTCACAAAAACACATATACGGGTAAAAGTATGTGTACACATATTAGTAAAACTGTGTAGTCAATTTGTAGTCTAATACTAGCGATAGACTGTTTAGTTTTTCATTTACGTGCCAAGCAAATTAGTTATGAAAGTAGTGACTAAGGGGAAAAATATTTCCTTTTGTTTATGTTTAGAGTTACAATTTTAAAATTTATCAACGCTAAAGATGAATCTTGATTTCTTGTTTATGTGGAACACAAATGGAAGAAAAACATTAGTTTTTTGGCTTCACAGTTGTTTTTTGACGTCGAGTAGTTTTTCAGCTCATGAGTTATCCCAAAAATTTACAATTTGCCAGCCATTCTTTAGTGAAACTAAAGAAATGAGCAAGTTAATAAGGTTGAAACATGGTTCGATGAAGAAAAAAAAAATCCTGTTCCGTGTGTTTTTGTTTCTAACTCGTGAAACTTTGGTGTAAGAAAAGGCTTTTGCATATCTCTGTTTTCCCAGGCAACTTAATGCTTTGAGTAGTGCTATTTTGTATGTTAGTACTTTATTTTGCTTACTACTTCAGCTCAGGTCTGTACTAAGAACATAGGGGAGCTTGATCTCTGAAATGCTGGTCAACTAATTCACAGTTTCTTTGTGTGTGTGCACGGAATTGAACCTCGGGAGAGAAGAATGCAGAACTAGGGCTGAATAACTTTCCTTAGGGATTTTTAAGTTGGAGCATTTGCTTTTAGTATTTTATTCCAGCTGCAACTTCCTAGGAGGCATGGGAATGATTATGCGGTATTTTTTAGATTTCTTTCACCATTATCTGTCACTTCACTTCTGTTTTTGCCCCGAGCTATTCTGTCTTGCCAAGTCTTAGTTCTAAGGAGAGTTTTAAAATTTTGCGATTTGATGTAGTTTCAGTACCTTGGCGCTCCACGTTTTAAAAGTCATGCTGTCAGTGTGCTGCTTGACATTCAGCTGAAGTTTTCTTGGTGTCAGTTTCGTACTCTGAGCTTTTTCCAGTCTTTTCAGATATTTATGCCTTTTTTAGCAAACTGCGTTTTGATTTCCTCACATTTCCTTGAAAGAAAGACTTCTGCCATGCCAAGATGTTTCCTCCCCCTCCCCCTTTCCACCCCGTCTCCTTTCTCCACACATCGACGTAGGTGGGAAAATGTCATGCTGGCGTGGTGGCTGGTGGGGGAGCTGGGGTTTTGGATTTTGGTCTTCAAGGCGCTGATCTTGCGCTTTCACAGGATCGTGTAGCTTTTGCATGAAGAGGTTGATTGTGCAACCCTGGTTTACACAGGGGTCGTCCTGAAATCGGCGGGCTGCTTTTGTCTTCAGTCCACTATCTGCTTACGTTGAGGCATGAAAATAGTTTTGCTCTTGACGGTATATTTTAAATGAAAAAAACCCCGCATTTTCTGACCACGTATTAAAAATAAGGAAAAATAGGGCACAGTGTTTACACAGTGACTAACAAAACCAGAAAGGGTCGACCTGTCAGACTCCTCTGACTGACAGCATTGCTGTGTGTGAGGATCCTGTGGGAAGGCAGGGTTCAGTGTTTTTTTCTGGCCTGCTGGAAAGGGCCGTTACTAATATGTTATGCAGGAGAATCTATTTCTGTTAAAAACCAAAACCACAAAGATGGGTCTTATCTCTTAAAATCACGTCTACTCTATTTAATTCTTGCAGCACACTTTACATAGATATTACTTTAATAGTCCAGGAAGAATTAACATACATAGTTAAACTCTGAAATTTGTATGAATCCTATCATTGTTAGAAAAGCTCAGCTTTTTTGGGGAAAGCAGGTTGTCAGACTAGGAGGAGACATGGGATAGCACTAGTGGTCTTGCAAGGACAGTGCAAAAAGCAAACATAGTATGTGTGACTATTTGTAAAAGAACCTCCTTAGCAGCCAAGGAGCTGACTGTGTTTTACAAGGAGTGAATATGACAGATGCTAGGAAGCTGAGGGAGTTCAGCAAGCCATTATTTTTGTGATCTGTTGGTCATAACACACAAGGGATCTCGACCTCCCATAATACACTGGCTGGTACTTCATCTGGGAATTCCAGAGTGGGTACATAGAGGTCATGGTGCCTGAAATTCCTCACTGCAGTGCGTATGGGCTGGAGACAACACTTAAACTGAATGGGAATGATTAACGTGGACATGTAAAACTGTGTACACTTTATCAGTTTTACTACAGCTGCCTCAACGTTTTTGATATGGCAGGATAAGGCCTATGCAGCACATGCGATGCTGGATGATGGCTCTGTGCTTAGAGAGTTTTTATAGCTCTTCTGCTGGTACCTGTATTGTAACATCTTAAAAGGCAGTAGCTATGGGCAAATTAACCAAGCAAAGCCTTTTTTTTTTTTTTTTGATAAATCTTTTTAACTACACTTTTTATCTAAGTACCAGATAAAAATTAGAGCTTCTTTCCTATCCAGCTGCAACTTTTACCTGGTTCCCTTCCTTAATGGTGTCATATTATTGTATGTTTAGGGCTCCCTCAATCTAATGTTTATTCTAACCTAGGTGTCTGTTCTAAATTGAGTAACCTATTCTTGTGTATTTCAGAACTGTAAAAATGGAGAAACAGCGACATGTTTAAGGACAGTAGCCAGAACATATTTTTTGGGGTTCTATCCAAAGCTGTCAAATTACTCAGTATTTTTGTAGCATGGTTTACTTACCTATAAGACATAGAATCCTAGACCTTGATATTGTACAGCTTGGGCCAGACCTACAGTATGGATGCATTTGTAGTGGTGTAACTTGTCTCGCTGGGCACGGCTTCAGTGCTGGACAATCCCTCGGTACTCGTCAGATGAATTAAACTTTCCTCTGGCAAGTACTGTGCACAAGGATAGTGGTGCTGTGTAGCCCTTCTAGTCAGTGACATCCTGGGCATGAACACCCCAGATCAAATATAATCACTTCCTGACACATTGTTTGGCTCTAGATGGTATCTCTCCACTTAGAGATAGTTGAGAAAAAGTTGGTAAAAACTTAAAGAAAGAAGGAATCACTGTCTCTTTAATTTTTGTTAGTCAGAGCCTGCCTTTTTTGAGGAAATGCACCTTATAGGCAAATACAGAAGCTTTGAACAAATAAATACTACCATATAAACCTAGCCAAATTTTTGAACGATTTTTTGAAGATGTGGATTAGAAAGATGAGTTCAAAATGCAGGTTTTTATGAAGGTTGTAGCAACTGAGTTCGTTATCTAATGGTATTTCTCCCTTAGGAAGACATCAAGTTCTGCTTTTCCAGGTCACTTTTTTTCCTTTCAGAGGTGTTAGGATGGCATGTTAAAATTGAAATACACTATTATGGAAAGCACTGCTGTAAGGGGCTTGCCTGAGCACAAAGGTGCAGTGATTTAATTAAAGGTGTGGTTTAATTAAGGGTTTGAGTTACATAAAGCCTTATTTGTCTGAACTGTTGACACTGTGTAAACATAATAAATTTAAGTGAACTTTGCACTTCTGCACCTGTATGCTTAGGAATTGAATTAATAGAGTATTTTAGAGTCATAGAATGGTTTGGGTTGGAAGGGATTGTCTAGTCCAGCCCCCCCCAGCCATGGACATGGATGCCTTCCACTAGACCTGGTTTCTCAAAGCCCCATTCAACGTGGCGTCAAACACTTCCAGAGATGGGGCATCCACAACTCCTGTGGGCAACCTGTGCCATTTTAAGTTGTGTTTGTATCCAAACTCTATAACAGTGTCTTAAATAAACAGTGCTCTTTTGGGGAAAAAAACCAAAACAAAATCAACAAAACCAAACCTAAACAACCCAAAAACCACAACAAGCCTAGTCTAAATTTTATCGAGTATGCTTCAGTCCTGAGCTCAAAGATACTGGGAATGTGAGAGGCTGTATTCAAGCCGTTTAGTCCAAATGTGGAACTCCTGCTGCTGCTGTTGACTGTGGCTCCGCAGGACTGACTGCCTTTATAGGTTTGGTGGGACTTGGCTGGATAGTGATCATCATCTTAGCCTCGAGTATGCATTTGGTATGCTGACACCTGTAAAAGTGATAAAGTTCGGTGTTTATGAAGTGTAACTTTTTTTTTTCTTTCAGTTGCAGACTCAAGTATTATGGGCGGAAAATAGTTTGGATGATGTGTTTTGCCAGCGTGTCTCTACGGTTTCAGTTGTAACAATGGATAAGTGTAAGCACATAGGACGTCTGCGACTGGCCCAAGACCACTCCATCCTGAATCCTCAGAAATGGCACTGCGTGGACTGCAACACCACCGAGTCCGTCTGGGCGTGCCTCAGCTGCTCCCACGTGGCCTGTGGGAGATACATTGAAGAACACGCACTAAAGCACTTTCAGGAGAGCAGTCACCCCGTGGCGCTGGAGGTCAACGAGCTGTACGTTTTCTGTTACCTCTGTGATGATTATGTTCTCAACGACAACGCAACTGGCGATTTAAAACTGTTGCGAAGCACGTTAAGCGCAATCAAGAGTCAAAACTATGAGTGCACTACTCGCAGTGGGAGGACTTTGCGTTCTATGGGTACAAGTGATGATTCTTACCTTGCACATGGTGGTGCCCAGGCCTTGCTTCGGAGTGAGGACCGCATGTTCACGGCTCTCTGGCACCGGCGGCATGCCTTCCTGGGCAAAATATTCAGGTCGTGGCTTCAGCTGACACCTACTGGAAAAAGGATTTTGGAAGAAGAAAGGCGTCAAGAAGAAGCAGAAGAAAGAAGGGACAAAGCTAGGAAGAGAAGACAAGAACGAAAGCGTGAGTTGAAAGCAGAGATGGAAAAGATGCCTCCAAGGAAGAGCAGTCGTTTACAAAATCAGATTAGAACGTCCTCAGAAACGGCACCCTACCTGCAAAAACCATCACAGAACATGGGATCTGTGCCAGGGTTGGAAAAAACGTATACCTCAGATGAAGTAAGGTTGAAAAAAATAAGTGACTCTCCTATTAAACGAAGGCCCACCATGACTCCTGGGGTAACAGGACTGAGAAACCTGGGAAATACATGCTACATGAATTCTGTCCTGCAGGTATTAAGTCACTTACTTATTTTTCGAGAATGTTTTTTAAAGCTTGATCTCAACCAAACTCAGGAACTGCTGGCAACAGCAACCAATGGTAAAACCAGATCTTCATCTAAACACCTGTCAATAGCTGCCTCAACATTACGTGTGAATGAGAGTCAAGAAAAAGTAAAGGGATCGTCTTCTGTAAGGCGGCCTAGTTTCTCCTCTGGATTAAGTGGAGGAGCGTCAAAAAGTAGAAATATGGAGCTTATTCAGCCCAGGGAGCCCAGTTCAAAGCATATTTCTCTCTGTCATGAGCTGCATACTCTGTTCCAAGTTATGTGGTCTGGCAAATGGGCACTGGTGTCTCCTTTTGCCATGCTTCATTCTGTGTGGAGACTAATTCCAGCCTTCAGAGGATATGCCCAGCAAGATGCTCAGGAATTTCTGTGTGAACTTTTGGATAAAGTGCAGCAGGAGCTGGAGACTACAGGGACCAGATACCCAGCTCTCATCCCTGCTTCTCAAAGAAAACTTATAAAACAGGTTTTGAATGTGGTTAACAACATTTTTCATGGACAGCTATTAAGTCAGGTATGTTTTATAATAATTTTTTTTAAGGTGTGTAATGGTTTGTTGTGGATTTATACTGGTCAGTGATGGGCATACTTCAAAGGTTAATACATTTATAACTACTGAGGAGTGATGGGGAGGATGTAATGCACAGTTTCAGAAGGTCATTCGGGTACTCCTAAATGAGTCACATGATGAAATATAAAAGTGTTGAATTTGATATTTTAAAGCACACCTTTGCAACTGCTGAGAAACAGACTTTGCTACTAAGCACCAACTAATTTGCAGGAATAAAGAATTTACAGTTTTAAGCATCCGTCTTATTACTGTAGTGATACCTAGATAAAAGGTGTCAAGAAAGTTAACACATCATCTAAGTGGAAGCTGATTAGGTAAAGGGTGCCAAGCAGGAAATTACTTCAGTAAATAGCTTGAATTTGAGATTCATTACTACAGAGTAATTGCCTGTCCTGATGCTATGTACAGCAATACTACTTGCCTGTTCCAACACAAAGATGTAGAAGGCTCTATCAACACAGGAACCAGATTTGTGGGGTGAAGGCAACTGTTGTTTTCCTTTTTTCTGCCTGACTACTCTCCTTTCTTATTTCTTCTCCTCCTTGGCTTCCTGTTAAGTACTTCAGTGTGTCCACTTACGATTATGCATATCCCAACTGTGGGCATGTACAAACCTCTGAGCGCTGACTGAACAATTGCTGGATTCTGTTGAATTCATCTAAAAGCTCACCACACTGCAGCAGGAACAGGTGTTGAAGTAGTCTTGGCCCCCTGGAATTGGCCTTTAGTTACTGGGGGAACACAGAAGTGTTTAGTGGATGTGTTGTGTAAAGGAGAAGAGGAATTTTAACACAAAGTAGCAGAAGGGTGGATGTTCCAAGTATTCTGACTATTTGATCGATGGTTTAATGTTTTAGTATGTGAAGCTAAAAAAAAAAAACAGCCCACATCCAAGTGGTTTTTGACTAAGGATTGTCTACTGCTATGGTATCTGTAAACTTTATAACAACATAACAAGCCTTTTAAAATTTGGATTGTTTGCGGCATATGGTAGCTTTTAGTCAATCTTACATTTTACATAACTACTAGAAACTGTTATATCTACTAACAAAACCAGAGGTCCTCTGCCTTCCATTCAGCCCAGTGTAGGAACATTTCTGTTGGCAACTTCCTTTCCTCGGGATAGTTAACATCTTGTGTCAGGGTTGTGCTGATGTGAGTGTCTAGTATATGATGTCATTAAAGCTTTCTATTTGAAAAACACAGTCCTCTCCAAAATAGTAACTTCGTTAGTAAAACAAAATAACTTGCTCAAGTATACTGACAAGGCTTGGTTGCTTTCCAAGCCTTCTGACAGGGCTCATTTTTTGGAAGAGTTTTGAAGGCTCTGAAGACACTAAGCATTGTTTTAGCAGTACAACTTTTACATGGCTTTATCTTTATGTGAAGAGGCTCGTGACTAGAAACCCTCCCACCTTCCAGAAACCAGGGAGGGGAACAGTGAGAATTCATTCAACTGTCATCGAGTAAGACTGAAAGGGAATTAAACAGTTTTGAGCTATACTGTGAGTTCTGTGAATGCAGCACACAGCTCTTTTACTGCAGCTAGTCAAAGTCTGTGTGCAAAATAACACCTCGATGAATTTCAGAATGCCTCAAGTGAGAAGAACAAGAAAAAAAGTATTGAGGCTGTTATCTGTAGTAATTTCTCCCTGGCTCGTGAGGCAGTTCCCACATGCAGTGTCCAACACTTTACATCCTAATGTTCCCTTTGTCTTCTGTCACTCCTTTGTTTCCATTTAGTCTTCTCTAGCACTTTTAAACCTGATAAGTATCAAAAGCAAAAGGTAACCCCTGCAGATTTACATATCTTACTTGTTAAAATATGTTCAGATCATTTTAATGGATCTGTCCCTGGTGTTCACACATGGAAGGATGAGCTTTAAAAACTCTAGTAAGCAATCATTTAACCTTCAAACTTCAGGAATACTACGAACTGCTCTTGCTACAGTACACAGGGGATCAGCCACAATACTGATAAGCTGGCTGTTTACTTAGGTTTCACATTACTTTCCCATGTGCAATAAAACATTTTCCCTCTTCTTCTAGCTGTCTGATTTTAACTTGAAGGGAAGTCATAATCCTGACTTTGCCATCAGGGGGTTGTTATTGAAATGGCTGCCTGGTTCAGCACTGACTGGATTTAGGCTATAAGATTGAGAAAGCAGAAAATTGGGTGTATGAGGATAGTGTGCAGATTCCTTTTTGATAGTCAAAACGATTACACATTTTATGAGTTTGTTGTTTTTGCTTTGTTATGTTCTTAGCTGATATAAAGTAAGTCCTCCTCATTTGCTACTTGAAAACTTCTATTTTATGGAATACTAGATTATGTAATGAGTAACTCCAGAAATAGTGTGAGTAGATTGCCTCTTGACTTCTAAATTTTTAAAAAATTTATTTCAATATCCTTCTTAGAATTAGAGGTTTTTATTTACTCAGCAGTACACACTGAAAATTCAATACCCAGTACATCTAAGGGAAGTAAAGGTAGGATATATAGCTACAAACCCTTTCCCCTCTGTTCTTTCCTTTTTCACATGCTAGTCTTTCTCTAGTGATTGCATGGAGAAAGTTGTGCTGTAGCAAATATTTAGCAAAGGAGTCTGTCTACACCTGTACTTTCAGAGGCAGATCTTCTGGAGCTTTGGCTCATCACTCCCAACTCCATTGGGACTGTAAGCAGATGCCAATATATCTATTAAAAACCCCATTTTCAATCACTCAGTGGTTTGTAGTGTTTTGAAAGGTGCCCACTGTCTGCTGTCCTCTGTCCTTCAGTGGGAAGGGAGAAGTTATGTACCAGTGGTAAACTGACCTGTACTGATCCACAGATCTTTGAAGGACCCTTCAAGGGCTCAAGCAGGTTAGCAACCATCCCCCTCAAAGAGTTTTTGGCTTGTGTTTTTTAAATGGTCCCAGCTAAATAGCAGTGATTTTAAAAACATCTTTATTTCAACCTTTGTGCATATTGTGCCCGGAAATGGGCAAGTTTGTTTTTAAAAATCCAGAAATTTAAATGGCAGATTTTAGCTTCCAAAGTAAATGTATATTTTCAGCAGTGCTTTGGGTAAATTGTGTCCTGCAGAAATCATACTAGAAGAAACTCTGGTGTAATTATAGCATCGTTAAAATTTTTGTCAGAATGATTTATATTGGGCTGGCAGGGAGGGAGGGAAACTAGTATGAAGTATTTATGAAAGCTGATCTAGACAATCTAGCTGATATAGGAAGGTAGCCTAGCAGATCTAGGAAATTTGCAGGTGTTATGCTGACAAAATCTTATGCATAGGCACAGCTTTTACTTCTTGAACTTCAGCTTTTTAACTAAATTGATTTACTCAGAGTATAACAATAACATTGAGTACACAGGTTTTGATTGAAAGATAGAGAGCCATTTTAGATTGTGTTTTTTAAGATTTTGATATTCCCAGAAAATCTTGAGTCGTGACAATCAAGACATTGGAAATAGTGAAAGAATAGAAACGTGTTTCTGATATGCCTGTTCTAGAAGCACTCTTGATGCTGGAATGTAGCACATACATATCTCAATTGAATTGCCCAATATAACTGTCTCCCAGTGCAACCTGTGCAGTACAAAGCTTTCCGGAACTAAGAAGTGCTAGCTACTAAGGAAGATAGATACTGCATGTTTCGTCTATCTTGTGCTTTTGGCCACTGCACTGGTAAAACTTCTACCACTATGTTGGTAAAACCTTAAAAACTTCCTGTAGTTCAAAATAAGCCTCTTGTCATTGAAATTACAAGAAAAAAAAAAGACTTTCTGTAAGCCAGACAGGATGAGTCAGACAAGATGATTCTAAATATTTTTACCTGCTGTTACTGAATGCTGAAATAGTAATTCAGATTATTGATCTCTTAATAGACTTAATTTTCTGTGTGAAGAAATGTAGAGGTATATTTGTGTGTAATAGTAACAAAATTACATGTCAAAATAGTCACTGAAGTTCAAATTATTATTTTAGAAAACTTCTTTGTTACCAGAGATTGTTTGTCTTCCCTCAGTTGCTCCGCTTTCGTTCTTCACTTTTCTGGTAGCTTCCTGACAGGTGAGTCCACATGGACGCGTGCGCACCCACACGTGCCTGCAGACGCAGAGCTGCTGAGGGTGGGCAGGACCTCTGCAAGTCATCCAGGCTAATTCTGCTCAAAGCAGGGTCCACTAGAGCAGGTTGCTTCGGGCTGCGTGCAGTTGGGTCTTAAATAGCACCGCGGATGGGCATGCCACAACCTCTCTGGGCAGCCTCTGCCAGCACAAGCCCATCTTCACAGTAACAGCAATTTTTTCTTGTGCCTAAACAAAATTTCCTGTGTTTCAGTTTGTGTCAGTTTCCTTTTGTCCTGTCTGTGGGTACCACAGAGAAGAGCCTGTCTCATTCTTCCTTACTTTCCTCAACTACTTACACACATGGATAAGATCCCTCTGAGCTTCCCTTCTTCAGGCTGAACACTACCATCTCTCTTGGCCTCTCCTAAGATCAGATGCTCCAGGCCCTTTCATCATCTTTGTAGCCCTTTTGGTGGCCTCACTCAACTAAGTCCATATCTTGTAATGCAAAATGCACTACTGGACCCAGACCTCCAAATGTATCTCACCGAGGCTGAGGAGAGGGGAAGGATCACCTCCCTCAGTGATGCTCTGCCTAAAGCAGCCCTCGAGGCTGTTGGCTTGCTTTGCCACAAAGGCATATTGCTAACTCAGGGTTTACTTGTTTCTTAGGACCCCCCCAGGTCCTTCTCTGAGGAGCTGCTTCCCAGCCTGTGCTGGTGCCTGGGGTTATTCTTGCCCACACGCAGGACTTGGCATTTCCTTTTATAGAACTGCATAAAGTTCCTTTTGGCCCATTTCCTTGGGCTGTCCTGCTCCCTCTGGGTGGCATGATGGCCCTCTGGTTTATCAGACGTCCACCCAGTTTTGTGTC